GAATCGTTTTTACAGTACAGTATATATACATATATCTACTTAGTCTCTTTGCTTAATGAGTAAATAACCGTGCTAACAGCTGACAGCTAAGCTAACCAACCTCCTAACAATTCTAACAGCTCTAACCAACTCTAGCCATTGGGTAAACAGTGTCGCGTATAACTGGAATTTGATCAAGCCTAGCAGTTAAATTAATACAAAACAAAAGCAATAATTTTTTTTTTTATTATAGAATCTTTCCTATTGAGAGAGGCGATAATATATTAAACTAACATATACTGCACAAATATTAGGACTCGTACTCAAAATCTTGCCTAAGTGACCAATTACTATAAACCACTACACTAGTGAGTCTTCGCAAAATAAAAACAATAATAGAGGAGAAGAAAGCTGAGTAAAAACAGAGGAACCATTTGTGTACTAGATCTCTGAGTTCTACTTTCTATTTAAACTTCTCACTTTACACGTTTTGCACACTTAAAGACTTTTATAGATGTAGAGACTTGCTCTGTTACACAAAACACCACCACAACATGGTTCTCTCTCAGCACCAACTCCACTTCGATAGAGCAGGAGGCTAACTTTTTTCATTTAACTAGTGTGTTACACTACCATGTATGCGAGTCTCGACCGAAAAAATAACCTATGTATACGAGTAATGCTAGATAGATTACATATATATACTATTTCTCAAGGGCGGATCTACACTTGGGCTGAAGTGGGCTCCAGCCCAGTGCTGATTTTTATTTTTTATTTTTTTTGTAGTCTTAGTGGTTTAAGCCGAATAGAGGTAAAGTAAATAATAGTCTAGCCCCCTATTTAAAATAAGCCCAGTTCTCTATGTAGAAATAAGCCCTCTTGAAGCATAAAATGGAAATAGTAAACATGCAATCCATAGCCTATATAAATTTGATTAGAAGCAAACATCAGAATTTTTCTTCTAGCTACCCAAAACGCCATATTTGAACCTTCAGAGCCTAGAAGAAATAGAACTCCCCCTCTAAAACAATTGTACCAACCTATCTTCAGAATCTTGGTAAGTTTTTCCCTTTTTTATTTATATTCAATTTCCAATTTTAATCATTGTTTTTAAGTTGTTATGATTCGGGGTTTGGGTGATAACTTTTGGGGATTGTTATATATGTTTTATTTTTGTAACTTGAATTATTAATTAGTATATATGAATTTTTATGTCTAGTATTTCTTGTTAGGATATCATCATGTTACATGGTGATAATAGAGCAACAAAGAGAGGAAAAGCTATTTATTCATTCTTAAAAAAAAAAAAGTGGTAACGATAACAAGGATACACCTTCTGCATATGATATTGATACAACAGTATGTTTGATTTAAGATTTATTTATATTTTATACTTCTTTGTGTTATATTTGCTCGTAATGTGGCCTTGTTTGATTTATAAAATTTTATTTACATTTTGGTTTCAAGAGAAAAAATGCTTATAATATATCTCCTTTAAAAAATAAAATTTAGCCTACCCCTATAAAAATTCATGGGTCCGCTATTGGCCCCTCCACACCCAATTTTTTTAAAAGTGGAAAGGGACCAACATGTTAAAAGCGGAAAGTGAGGGTTTAAGCACACGCTTCGTCTTCCCAAGCCACCACCATCACCTGCGCCTTCACCTCTCTCGCTCTCTCTCATGGCTACCGCTACTCCAGCTAAGCGAGTCGGCACTCACAATGGCAGCTTCCACTGCGACGAAGCCCCCGGCCGCCAGGGCCAACA